TCTCTCCCCAATCTCCTGCGTTCCCACCCTCCCTACTGTCACCTCCCTACCAAGGACTCCCCTATATCTCTGGCCCTGACCTCTCCTCTGAGCCCAGGCTCATTTCAGGTGAGCGTCTCCACCAGGAGGGCGCACAGGTATCTCAGTCTTAACGTGAGCCATCTGAACTTGTTATCTTCTTTCTCAACCCTGTTCTTTTTCCTGACCGCTGCATATTTTCCTGTGGTACCGCATCTTCTCCATCACTAAGGAATCTTATCTCAGATCCTAGAACGTGATGAGCGCCTCCCCTTCCTTAGATGCGTCCCACTCTATAACTGTCTGCCAAGTAGAGGGGAGCAACTGGCTCTGAGGTTGTCGTCCCAGGGGGCAGGCTGTCCTGTCACAAAGTTGATCACTGGGAAATCGGAGCAGAGAGACCAAAGGAATTGAGTCTGTGGTGATAGCGTAAAGCCACCAAATTAAGCCAAACCTAGAGTTTGACCCGTCTCTGAATTCTCCAGTTCAACAAAGCAGCGCGGTCACTTCACCGTGTAAGCGAGTTGGTTTACCACCGAACGCATCCCGGGAGAGACAACCCTGACAGCCAGGCTGCTTCTGGAATCTCCTTCCTGACCCGTCCTCCACACAACTGCCAGATCTTTCTCCGGGCTCATTCTCTTGTTCGAAGGAGTCGGTGAGTCCGCACTGCCTGAGAGCAGCCGAGTCCCGCGCCCGGCATCCGACATTCTCGAGCGCAGTCTCCACGTGCCTCCGGCTCCGTGTCTGTCCCGCCCCCTCACATGTGATCAGGGCCGGAGGTTTTACCCGGCACCGGGAAGCGCTCAGGCGGTGTCCGTGCCCGGAGCCGAGGGACGCTGTGCCGAGGTGGGGGGCTGGGGCTGGGGTCCCCCGACCTCTTCCAGTGGGGCCAGGTGGACCAGCGCCCACAGCAGAAGCCCAGTTTTCCCTGTTCTGGATTCCCGACCGGCCGCAACTCCTCAGGCCCCGCACAGCGCTGACCGCCATGTCCTTTCTCTGCCTTCCTCAGGCAACCCGTGGGGCCTGAGCTCCCAAGTCCTGGGGCCAGTCCCCATTTCCAGCCTCTGATGTCCCTCTGTTCCTGCTGCCCCTTTCTGTCCTGAGGACCCCAGGGGCGAGGTGCTCTTGTCGAACAAGGACTCAGGGCTGCAAAACCATACCACGTGGAGGACCGTTCAGCAAGAACAGCAACGTGTGCTACCGTCTGCCTAGCCACCAGCCGTTTCCCTTCGTCCTTCCTGCAGAACCCGATTTTATTTAGGCAGAGGTGCCCCGTCCCCAGATCCAGGGCCAGAGCCTGAGTCACCTAAGCCAATCACGGTGATTTCACTCTCCTGCCAGTGGCTGCTTCAGGAACAGGCCAAGACCATTTCTGGACAGTGAGATGTGAGGGGAGCTCTGCTCTGGAAGCTTCTGGGAAAACTATGTTCGAGCATATGACATCACACAGGTGGAGCTCTTCTCCCTCTGATAAGGTGACTCCATGTGACCAGTGAACCTCCTACAGCCACAGCACCCAGACTGCCACCGTCTAAATGCCTGCCATGCACCAGACAGTTTACAGGCACCATCCCAGTTTGTCCTCAGCATCTGAAGATAAAGAATATATGCCCACTTTACAGATAAAAAAACAAGGCTCGTAGACATTAGGCAACTTGCTTATAGTCCCACAGCTGGAAGAGGCAGAACTGAGATTCCAACGCAGGTAGGTCCAACTCTTTCTGAGTCCTCTGTGCCCCCAGTCACTGTGTTGTGGCCCTGGCATGGTTAGGAGTGGCTGCACCCAGTGGGCGTACAGCGCATCGGTGCTGGCTCTCTTCCTTGGCCTCTCCTCTTCCAGCCCCATGGACCAGCAGGAGACAAACTCGAGCCCCCAGGAACACCCCTGAGGGAGGAAAGTTCCCCCAACCACGTGGTTGGGAGCCAGTTCCAAGCAGCGTTTTGTTCCCGGACACAAAAGCCCTTCTCCCTCTGGGGAGACCCACAGCTCCGTACAGGCCTCCCTTGTTCTCCCTGGCTCCACGTCAGGGGCCCACGTCCAGCGTGGCCCCAGGGAACCGGGAACATGGGCAGAGAAACGAGTGAAACCCAAGGACCTGCCAGGAAGGGAAATCTGCTCAGGACCTCTCTGCTGGGCTGTTCCTTTGAGCTTGGCTGTTTGGTTGGGGTCTCCCCTCAAGAGCCCAGTAAAGGGACAGGACTCTAGTGCCTTGAGCTGATGAACAAGGACTGTGTCCACAGCCAGGGAGAGCTCCAGGCAGCCCCTGTGATGGGCTCAGTGTGCCCCTCTGTGCACAAGAGGAGCCCTCGAGGGTACCGGCCTGTAGGGGAGAGTCTCAGCTGGAGGGAGCCACCTCCTTCCCTGCAGAGGTGGGGCTCACTCCCCACCCGCCCCCTCCTTTCTGCCCAGCCCATTCTCTCCAAGGGCCAACTTCTGGCTGTAGGGAGGTTGAATTGCCTTAAAAGGAAACCTGTTTCTCAGTTTGTGGAGTGCCTAGAGGGACACTGGGCTCCTTCTCGATTGCCTTTCCAGGTCTGGGGGACGGAGGAGGCCCTGCAGGCGGCTGGAACAAGAGAAGTTCCCAGGTCAGAGTTCAAGCTGTGCAG